ACCATGTTCCCATGTCCACTCCCACGACTTCCCACGTGCTCCCAGGTCCACCCCCGCAGCCTCCCACGTGCTCCTACGTCTACCCTCACGGCCTCCCACCATGTTCCCACATCCACCCCACAGCCTCCCACGTCCACCCCCATCCCCATGAACTCCCACGTCTACCCCCACGGCCTCCTGCCATGTTCCCATGTCTACTCCCACAGCCTCCCACACGCACACAACCCACTCATACCCAAAAAGGAAGAGCCTCTGGATGGGTTCCTTCCTAGCTGGGACCCCTGAGGGCTCTGGGGACGGGGAACTGTAGCTCTGCTGTGCCTTGTGCCCAGGAGCGTCAAGACCCAGGCGTATCTTAGCAATTCTGGCTGACATTTCATTTTCTGTCCTCATTTGCTCATTTGTAAGAACATCAGCAGCAGACGGCTCTAACAAGTCCCTCTCCACCGCATCCGTTCTTGATGTCGGACTCCGTCTATCTGCAGTTTTCATATTTTTATTTGGGGTCTTAGAAAAGTTACTTCCTAGATCTTGCAAATTTAGTTTATCAAACTCAACAGTCAGGCCCGGTACCGGTGAGAGAAGGGCTTCCTCCCCACGCGGGGCTTCTGGCCGCCTCCTCCCCAGAGTCTGGCCTCCACTTAGGGGGCTACAAAATCCATTCTTGCTGCTGTGGGCACTGGTCAGGGTGGAGGCTTCTATGAGTTCGGTCTCCTGCTCCAAGGGAAGGATGTCACACTCCAAGTCCCCAAAAGTGCCAAGTGTGGGCCGGGTGTTGTTCCGAGCTGTGTTCTGCCGATTTTTAATCTCCTCCAAGCTCAATTCGTCATCTTCGTCCAGAAAAGCCCTCACGGAGATGGAATTGCTGCACTTCCGACGGCCTGCAAGGGAGAGGAGCAGTTGTGCAGAGGCACGGGCGACGCAGTCTGCGACACGTCAGGCAGCACGGCTGCAAATCCCCAGGACCAGCCAGAAACCAGCCTCTTGCCGAGGCTGCCTCCTCAGCCCCTGACAGATGTGAGCTCCCTGGGAAAAGCCAAACAGAAAGCACAGCCTCCAGGCCCAGCACCCTGCCCTCAAAAGCAGGAAAAGGAGAAGGAAGTCAAGGGCAGGCACATGCGGTCATGACGGTGGCTGGCACCTCCCATGACTCGCCAGGACATAAGGGGCAGGCGGAGCAGCAGGCATCTGCTCGTTCACGTGGACATGCTTCCTGGTCCGCGGCCACTGGACAGGGTCCGCATCCTGAGAACCTACATGTGCCTGCGCGTCCTTACCAGAGACAGAGGCGTCCTGATGGCTGGCTTCGTTTTCTCCCGACTCTTGGGCATCGTTGCGCACTTCCTGGGGAGCGAGATATTCTTCTAGTTTTTGCAGACCCTCCTGGGAAGACAAGTCAACAAAGCAGCCCAGAAAGTCCCAGTACTCGACCCAGGGATACCCCAGCTCATGAGCCAGCTCCCTGCAGGAAGAGATACCATCCATCAGTTAGAAAACCAGTCGGAAAAAACGCTCACAGAACCAACTATACAGAAAAGAGCCACTTTGTGCTAAAGTGCCCAAGTAATGCCTGTACTTCTGGTTATGATTTTTACTTTATCCTAAATTTGGGGCTAAGATAGCAGTTTTTATTTTCTAAAGCAGGCCAGGACTGAGAGCGGTTTCACTCATGAACTGTTACACTGAATGTATTAAAGTCACGGCAAGGAGGCCTTGACCACCCCACTCGCACCACAAACGACTCTGGTTTTGGCTGAGCACATAAATAAACGTTTGGAAGTTCTTTTGAGGTTCAAGTTGTCAACCTGAAACTAGGCACATTATATATGTGTGTGTACATACACACACACACACACATATACATATACATAGGGAGGCGGGGGGGCACATATTTTGAGAAAAGGCTCTGAAACAACTCAGTGTAGCCTTATTTGATGACGCTGTATTCAGCATCTTGATGGTGGGAAAAATGCTTTTCTGGGACTTTTTACTAGTAGTTTCAAGCCACACCTTCTTCTTGTGTTTTATTTCCTCCTTTACTGCCAAGAGGGCACCCTCTGTATGACACGTCACACAAAACACCGTGAACCCAGGCACGCTACCCATCAATCTTGCCGGGAGAGTGGCCGCCACGGCGGGATCACACCTCAGTAAAGAGGCTTTATGTCCCCCCAGTGAACGCTTCCCAGGAATGACATTTTGAAGGCTGTTAACTGGTTTCAACACAGACACATGCAGCAGATGAAAGGACACTGCTACTCAGCTCCGTGTCGCTTCATACTGCGCTGGCAAGTACCTTCCCACTCTCTCTACGCCTCTTTCTGGATCCGTCTTCCTGACACTGTGAAAGAAGCCCGCTTTCTCTCGAGGTGGGGTCTTCCAGAGCCTGCGGAAGTCTTCTGCCTGAGGAGAAACCGGATGGCGCGGTGCTCACCCAAGTCACAGGTGAACGAACAGAACCAGCGAGCACCTCCCAGCGCCCCTCCTCCCTCCCCCTCTGGTCTGGCAGCCTGACGGCCTCAGGGCGGCGCTCACACAGAGGCAAGGTTCCGAGGGGGCGTGGTCCTGCTCCCTTCCAGGGGCCCAGGCTGGGCTGGGAGGGTCAGAGCTTCCCGCGGGGACCCCGAGGCCAACACTGGAGAGCTGCCACCCTCAAGCCACTTTCCCATCACATAAGGGTAAATGCATGTTTATGTTTTCAGGTCACTCTTAACTAGAGTCTTCTTTTACACAAATGAATCTAATCTTAACTAATAACACCTGTTTTTGGAGACACTTCTGTAACTGCACGTAACTATTTAAAATTATTATTATTTTTGGAGCGCCTGGGTGGCGCTCAGTTAAGCATCCAACCTGTTTTCAGCCTCAGCCTAGTTGATCTCATGGTCTTGGTTGGAGTATTCCATATCGGGAAGCTCTGCACTGACAGTGTGTATATTTCCGATTTCAAGTTCTCCTCTCTCCTCTCCTCTCCTCTATCCTCCCTGCTCACGTGCACTTTCTCCCTCAAAAGAAATAGACTTTAAAAAATAAATGAAATGATTTATCTTTACATTTGGTTAAGATGGTGGTAGGGCATCCTATGCTGCCATTTTGGCTTTTTTTTTTCAGATTCCATTTTTTAAGTAGGGGGAAAAGGTGGGGTGTGGTGTTTTCAGTTCTGTTAACTGACTCCAGCTCCACAGCCCACAATCTCTCAAGAGAGACATGGTTCAAGCCCTGCATCTGATGAGCCTGTGCTGATAGCTTAGAGTCTTTGAGCCTGTTTTGATCCTAGGTCTCCCTCTCTCAAAAAATAAATGGCTATTAAAAAAAAAAAAAAAAAGATTTTGTGATGCGGGCATGGCATCTCCACACCTAACTATTAAATGTTGGCTTGAACTCATAACCCTGAGATCAAGAGTCTCACGCTCCACCCATCAAGCCAGCCAGGTGCCCCTTTATTTGGGGTGGTATGCCTGGTGGGCGTGAAAGGGTTGTTTTTCTCCCTGACTTGTCTGTCTAGGTCAATACTTCATCTCATGGGTCTTGTCTGAAGTCCTACTGGCCAGGTTTCCACATGGCTCTGGAGCCTGAGCCTGTTTCCCCACATTCTGTTCTCTCTCTCTGCCCTTCCCCCGTTTTCTGAGTTCTGTCTCTCTCTGTTCCAAAAATAAATAAACGTTGAAAAAAAAATTAAAAAAAAAAATTAAGTTTATTTATTTATTTTGAGAGAGAACAAGCAAGGGAGGAACAGAGAGAGAGGAAGAGAGACAGAATCCCAAGCAGGCTCTGCACTGTCGGCAAGGAGCCCAATGTGGGGCTTGAATTCACAACCCTGAGATCAAGACCTAAGCTGAGATCAAGAAGAGGTGGACGTTTAACCGACCAAGCCAGCCAGGCGCCCCTTTAAAATTATTTTTAACAAGAGGAAAATGACACACAGTGTATGAAATACCTCGGCCCAGAAGGTGAACTGCACAGTTTGCAAATGCAAGTTTCCTAGTGACAATACAAACCCAGGAATATGGGAATAGACAGCCGGGCTAGACCAGCATGTACTGTGAGAAGGGCCACTGACACGGACCGGAGCACCAGGTGATGACAGCATGGAGGGTCAGCCCAAGTAAACTTCACTTCTCTCACATATGGGCTCACCACCGCATCCGCTCTGGCTAGCAAGTGAGGAACAGGGTTAAGACATGTTCTGCTTTCTCCAGCAGATGTTCTCAAGCCTTGTCACCAACTGACTACGATTCCATAAGTCCTGGTCTCAACACCAAACACAAAGCAAGAGCTGGAACACCCGGCACTTCTGGTGGGGATGGCCAGGAGCTGGTTCCAGAAGCTTCCACAGCAGCTCACCTTGGATGGGCTGAGGGGCCCTGCAAAGGCTCGCAGGGTCAGAACAGGGTCTCTGGGGCCGCCTCCACCATGGCTGACGTGAGAGGTCTCGGTCATCTGGTCTGAAGACCACAACTCCCCGATCACCGGAGACGACGTGTCCTCAGCTCTCAGGAGTGGCACGTAGTAATGGCCTGGGAGGAGGAGACACTGGCTAAAGGCATCTGCTTGGGCAGGTCCTCACCTCAATGCCGTGTCAGGCAGTCTGAGAAACACCAGGGTTTTGCAAGCTGTTCAGTGATAAAAAGGCTGCAAAAGCTCTAAAAGGTGCAAAAGCTCTGGAGCCAAAAGACCTGGGGAAGCGGCCAGTTTTTGCCAGACTCACTCAGCCACACATTGGTCCTCTGCCAGGAAAATAAGGGGAAGGAAGGAAGGGCAGCAGCAGACTTCCTCACCCCCAGGTACTAAAAGGACTGGGCCTGTGTGAACAACATTAGCATAATGGGAGTCTGAGAATTGTTAAAAAGAGAAAGTTCGATTTTAACTCTCTTTTTTAATAAATTTTTTTTAAGTTTATTTATTTTTGAGAGAGAAACATGCAAGTGGGGAGGGGCAGAGAGAGAGAGAAAACACAGAATCCGAAGCAGGCTCCAGGCTCTGAGCTGTCAGCACAGAGTCCCATGCGGGGCTCGAACCCACGAACCACAAGATCATGACCTGAGCTGAAGTTGAACACTCAACTGACTAGCCACCCAGGCGCCCCTACTATACAATCTTCTATCATCGAACACACAACTCCGAACAGACATGGCATCATGCGACACTCTCGTGAAATGCGGAAAGAACGATGGTGGACTGTGATGATGTCACCTGGGACGGTGTAGCAGGAAGGGGTCCAGACGCCACGTACAGAAGGATAGCTGTGGCTGTGGTGTGCCAATAAAGCTTTATCTGCAAAGGAGGTGGCAGGCCAGGCAGGCATCTGCTGACCTTTGCTTTAAACGGATCTAACAGAAACTAAGAGAGAAGGAAAGACGGGAAATGGGGCCACCAGACTTCCAGCTGAAAACGAAAAGAAAGGCACCTGTGCCTCCACCTTCAGAACACACTGGAAACAGCCCAGAGGAAGCCACCGGCAACAACCCCTTTCTGAAACCGGCCATCTTCACGCTTCTAAAGCTCTTCACCATAAAAGGCAGGCCCAGAAGGCGGGGAAGAGCCCCCACAGCCCTGATCAGGAAGGGCTGCCCCCATGGCTCACGCAAATTCAAGCATCAGCCTAGAACGCCGAGGGCTGGGCCAGGGCGGGAGCGGGGCTGCCTCTGGGAGCCAGGTGAGGACAGTCCTAGCTGTAGCTACAGGAGCGGCAGGGCCGGGTGCAGCAGGCGGCACAGGAAAGGGCTGATGGGGAGCCACTGACACCCCAGACCCAAGTGCTCCAGGAAGGGCCCCTCCCACTTTCTGCTCTGCCAACTTGTAGGCCGTGCCCAGGTAGCAGGGACCAGAGAGGGTCCTGCTGCACGAGACACGGGCAGGGATGACGGGATGAAGCCACGAGCAATAGTCAAAGGACAGACAACCCGCGTCCCTCGGAAAAGCTCAGGCTTCAAAGGAGGGATGACAGGACAACAAGATGGCATTGAGCTGGGGGTTCAGGAAGCAGAAGACGACCCTCAGGCTGTCACCCTGAGAGAGGATCCACTCCCCACGACGCCAGGCCAGGGTCCCCCTTACCCTTTAAGTACTCTCTGATCCGCTCCTTCAGCTCCACAGACTTATTTTTGCTTCTTTCACAAATGACCTATTTTAAAAAGACACAGTATGTGAACACTTTAAATCTTAATTTGTCACATTTTATCATTAAAATAATTTTATAAAAGCAAGTTTTAAGGTTAACAAAAAAAGGATAGTGTCCTAATGGTAAATATTTCATCAAACTCACAACCAAAAAACCCATGTTGAACAGTACAATTTTCTCCCAAAACGTTCTGTAAAAGCTAAAGGGGTCAGGACAAGAAAAACAAACCCTGGGAGTGAACTGATTTTCTTTCTTCGTGTTACCCTACACTTTCTAGTTTTCCTCAAGGAAAGGCATGTTCAGTTAGGCAAACACAGGCAGAGACACTTGTAATTTTTAGTTCTATGAGCTCCAATGCCTGGGGGCCTGTTTGTTGCTCTTGTTTGGATGGGTTAAAACAGTTCCTATTTAACGAGAATACGGTGTTTTATTCTTGCTATTCTAGGAATCAACTTTCTTCCTTAAAGAATTGCAGGATGTTCCAAGAACATTTTTACTAGAAACAATAAAAAACCACAATAACCTTAAAATAAGGAAGGAACTACAAAATTAACATCTCCTGCCAGCCTGTGAAAAAAACAAACTAAACTCTACTCTGTAAGTAGTGCAACTATTTTTTAAAATGTGTAACTGATTGTGAGGAAAGGCAAATGCCTTTTTTTTTTTTTTTTACTGTTTATTTTTTATTCTTGAGACAGAGCATGAACAGGGGAGGGGCAGAGAGAGAGGGAGACACAGAATCCAAAGCAGGCTCCAGGCTCCGAGCTGTCAGCACAGAGCCCGACGCGGGACTCGAACCCACGAACTGTGAGATCATGACCTGAGCCGAGGTCGGATGCTCAACCAACTGAGCCACCCAGGCGCCCCGAAAGGCAAATGCTTTAAAGAATACCAGTTACTGGAGCGCCTGAGTGGCTCAGTCCATGAAGTGTCCAACTTCGGGTCAGGTCACGATCTCACGGTTCGTGGGTTCCAGTCCCGTGTCGGGCTCTGTGCTGACAGCTCAGAGCCTGGAGCCTGCTTGATATTCTGTGTCTCCCTCTCTCTCTGCCCCTCCCACACTCATGTTCTGTCTCTGTCTCGCTCTTTCTCAAAAATAAACAAGCATCAAAAAAATTTTTTTTAATTTAAAAAGAATAGCAGTTACCAAAGACCATCTTATATTGAATAAATATACATACCTATGCACACAAACAGTTAAGTCATACATGTGAAAAATAATAGTAATTTTCTGAGTTATAGAATGAAAAATTTTCTGTTTACATGTATTCTAGTTTCTATAGAAAATGGGCACTATCTTCGTAACCATAGCAACTACACAGGTGGCATTTGCTACCAGATTAAGATCCTTACAGATTCCATCTCAAGGGCTGGCTGACCCAGGTCAGCTTGCCAACAGCTCTGATGCACAGTACAAATCACGCTTCTTTCAGTTTCCGTCAGGTCCACCTCCCTCCCCACCTCACTTCTGCCCTCTCTAAGGCACATTTTGCTCAACGGCCAATATCAATCCTAACAAGGCTTGTATAGGTCAGGTGAGAATATCTGGGTGGGGCTTAGGACGGCGGCTGGTACATCATGAGCTAAACACGTCAGCTTTCAGTACCATCATCCTCATCACTGCCATCACCAACCTCACCACCATCATCACTGTCATCACCATTACCAGCACCACTAGCACCATCATCCCCGGCCTTATCATCATCACCGCCACCATCTCCCTCGTCATCATCACCACCATCACCACCATCATCATCATCGCTGTCATCCCCATCTCCATTATCACCACCACCACCAGCACCAACATCACCATCATCCCCACCATCACCACCATTTCCCTCGTTATCACCACCTCTCCACTGTCATCCTCACCACCTTCTCATTACCATCAGCAACATCATCATCACCCAAACGACCAACACCATCACCTCCTCTGTTCTCCAGTTCCCTGGTCAACTGAGGTACGCACAGAGGAAACTTGATGAAAGCCAGGAGCTATGCCTGTTACTCAGTAATCATGGTTCTAAGATGTGCCTGTGATGCAAACATGTTCAAACAGTTACTGTGACTTCACAGTGACTCTAACTTTGTGTATTTTCATATCTAGTACTATATAGTAACAGCAATTTAGTAGATACTTACAGACGCATCTGGATGGTTCAGTTAGTTAAGTGTCCAACTCTTGGTTTCGGCTCAGATCATGATCTCACAGTTTGTGAGATGGAACCCCACATCGGGCTCTGGGCAGACAGTGCGGAACCTGCTTGGGATTCCCTCACCCTCTGACCCTCCCCCACTCATGTGCATGTGCACACACATGCAGATGCTCTCTCAAAAACGTAAATAAATAAACTTAAAACCAAAAATAAATACTTACATCTTCAGGAGTTTTATCATATTTATTCCTTGGGTTTTTTACAATCAAAGGGTGTGAAGAAAGCACATTGACCACGTCTGCATTCCCAAACTTACAAGCAAAATGCAATGGTGTGTCATAGCCCTGTGAGAGGTGCAGAGGAAGAATATTTATTTGTTTGTCCCATAAAGTTGCTTTAAGATAAAAATAGGTATTTAGCAGAACAAAAAACGCTCAAAAACAAAAGACCATAGAAAGGCATTGTTTTTATAACTGAGAAATAATTGGCGTGTTGACACTTACCCTCACTTGAAGCCAGAGCTTGAGGCCAGCCCAGCACCCTACTTAACAGGTGCCCAGGCCCAGACAGAGCTGACAAGTGAGCTGGGGCATAACTACCGCTCAGTAAACTGCATCTTTAACAATTCAGGGCCCAGTACAAAGTCCTATGATCAATGCTCAAAAGGTGAGGTACACAGATGGATGCAATACCCAGAATAAAACAAAGTCTGTGAGCCTGGTCTGCCCTCAACCCTCTCTCGCGGCCAACACCACAGTAAATGAGACTCTCTGCTCCTGACCTCAGGACGCTTCCCAACGCTCCCCGGATACTTTCCACTGAGGCCTACAGATCAGCGGGCCTTCGACTAACAGCGTCCCCGAGCCTAAGAGCTGTGGAGCCCGCCTCAACCGGGCACCCTCACTTGCAACGGCCACAGGCTCAAATGCAGCACATCCGAAACAGAACCCACTCCCATCGACCAGGGCCAGGAACTCAATGCCACGGTCCACCTGTGACTACCAAGGATGGCATGTCCCAGCTCACAAGGCCCCCACGTGCCGGCCTCCCCTTAGCCTCTTGCACAGGCTTCCGAGACTCCTCGTGGGTCTTGCCACTTGCACTCACACTCACACCGCCACCTTGTGCATCCCCCAGAGGTGATCCAAGTGATCCCGTGGGAACAAATATCCTCCAGGAGGCACCCACTCCCTGTTCCACACCCTCCAGGACCACCTCACCATCCCACACGACTGCCCACACGAACCCGGAGAGGTCTGGGTGTCTGCCCGTAGCAGTGCTGACCGCACCCTGCCCGCTCGTCCAGGTTGGCAAGCTGCCTCAGCCAAGGGCAGCCACCCTGCTCTATGCGTGTCTGAGGCCACGATGACACAGAAAGAACGAGCAGACTCGTGTTCCAGTATAGCTTCATTTACCAAAACAGGCCGGCCTTTCCTAGATCTGCTCTAGTGCATTCTCTGCATTAGCACTTTCTCAATTCATGCTGTCCTGGGGACACTCCTGCTCTGGGCCCGAGATCCATTCATAGCCTGACCTCCTGTGCCAGGCCTGCAGAGGCGGGGGGACACTGATCGCGGCACAGCAGGGATGAGTGTTTCCACTCAGCACCTAACAGCCCGCGTCCTTCTGGCCACCCCTCTCCCTGGCCCCACAGAACATCCGTCTCTAACCTGTTCCGAGCTCTGCAAACGTGACTCCCGCCTCTGCCTGCATTCCTGCCGGGAACCGCTTCTCCTGCCCAGACAGCAGGCTCTGGGTGCTTCTCACCGACACTGGGCTCTGCCAAGCCAGGTACTTGTGTCTGATACTTTGACACTTGGACACTAATACTCTTAGTGAGTTCTGCTCAAAGATAGCCTATAACATCTAATTTCAAGAATTTATTAAGCGTTCCTTGTGGATGTACATATGCATATTTTCTGTAAATACTGTATTTTCTGTAGGGCACACGCTTCTCTGTTTTACCTTTCAAGTCACACTTCCTGATTACAATAACCAAGTCAGGAATCCTTCCTTATTGAGTCTAAAGCACAGAACTCTGTGCTCCTTCTGTCTTCTTTTACAATTAGTAATGCTTCCATATGTATAATCATCGCTTTCTCCCATACCTCCTTCTAGAATTGTGCCAGATTGGCCAAATGTGTCTTCACTCCCTCTTTTCTCTCTTGTTAATTTAAAGGTTACCCTTGCTCTGCGACCGTGGAGTTTGATGTGTCCCATTCAGTATGTGTCACGAAACACTGAGTCATGACACCTTCAGCACGCTTCTGTCATTCCCTTTCCTGCCAACCACAACTTTCCCAACTCCCGGGCTTGCTCAGGGTTCACAAGTCTTGGCTCTAAGCTATCACTGGGTTCTGCCTTACAAAACTATGTAAAATTCTTCTGTTTTAACAATTCTTACATAAGCCTTATGCATCATTAAAAACCAAACCTTTGAGATTTTTACCTCCACAGGAAAGATTCCTCATATTAAGTGGGGGAAAAAAAAAAACACACAGAACCCTCGAATAAAAGGCACCACAACCTCTTACTTTCTTTTCTCTCTAGGTTTTGGCGTTGGCTCAGCCTCTCATCAAAGCCCAGCTCAGGTCTCCCCGGACAAAGGCCAGGAGGGACGTGTTCCTGCAGCAACTCTGGCCACAGGTGAGACCCATGTACACCCCGCCTGGGGCGGCAGATCTCCTATGTGTGAACAGATCCCGTCCCCGCCCCTAATTCGAAGGCGGCCGAGCGCAATGAATGCGCGTCTCCTGTCCCACCCTCCACGTGCATGGCGATGTGGGGAAATGCACACGGGGACACCAAGCTTGCTGCCAGGCTGACATGACTTCTCCTAGGAGCACTCACCACTTTGTCAGGCGTGTTTAGGTATAGGTCGACGATGTAATAGATGCGCTGCTGCAGCATGTTCTGGTCATCATCCGGGTACATGAGTCGCATAAACTCGGGGTTTTCCAGAGTCTCTAGGGTCAGCTGGCAGATAGAAGCCTGATTCTCTTTGGCAGCAACATGCATAACATTGTACCGACATCCTTCCTGAAAGAAGACTGTAGATGTGAGCTTCATTTTTGCCAAGCACAGTCTTCCGAGGCTAACGGTGCTAGAAGCAGGCTTACCTGCACAATGGTGGGATTGTCCCCCGAACCAATCAGATACCGGGGGTTACTCCAGATGAGATCGGAAAAGGTGTCGTCTTCTCCCTTCTCCACAGCCTTTCGAAGTTTGGCAGTGAGATCTTGAGTACGGGGGGTTTTGTAACTGTTGGCTCGCTCTTTGTTTACAGTTTCAGACTCAGGTGGGTACAAACCATCTGTCATCAAGAGAAAGGATTTAAGAATGTTTAACTTCACCAACATTTTCTCATCACCCACTGTGTGCTACGCTGAGGCCGCAGAAATCGCCCCCACACAAGCTCATCACCACCTAGTTGGGAGTGCGCTAGCCAACAGCGGGGCACAAACGTGCCACCACAGCAGGAGTCCAAGTGCAAAAGGGCCTGAGTGGCCTGCAGCTAGAAAAGGCTGCGAGGAGGGTGAGGGCACACCACCGCACGCACACAGGAACCTCCACGTGCATGGAGCACGCCCACGAAGGCAGAGTGAGCCAAGACTATTTGTCGTTTTAATTACAACACCCGAGAATGTCTGAAAACAATCTGAGTATTTTCACCGACTGCAAAGAGGGAAACCTCTAAGTATTAGAAATCACTGTGGCTTCGTCTACGAAGCACCTGTGTGAGCAGAGGAAGGAAGCAGAGGAAAACAGGCTGGCGGAGCTTTCGACTGAAGGCTCTATGTCCATAAGGAGAGGGTGCCTTCCCCAGGAGCCCCAGCCAGCCTAGGAAGCAGGACAGCTGCGGGCTCCAGGAGGGGGCAAGGCGGAGCGTGGGCCATGGTCAGAGGCTGCTGGGGTTCTGCACAAGGCCTACCGAAAAGGCCTCTCACGAGACCCCTGTTCAGAGCTGGAGCAGGTGTGGTGGGATTCCAGGCTGCAGGGCTCCCCCCGCAGGCCAGCTCCGTCCGCAGGACTATGTGTGCCAAAGCAGGCACCACTGTCCTAGAAGTAGGTGTGGCTGCAGGCGGGAAGGAGACAGGTCTCAGCATCTAAAAAAGCCCCAGGATCCCATGGCAGCAGTCAGAGAGGGAGACAGAGGCAGCAGAAGGGAAGGGCCAACAGTGGCCTTGTCAGGTTCAGGGCCCACTCAGTGCCCCGCTGCTTCTACCCTCAGGGTCCCTAGTCCTTCCCAGACCAGGTGACCGACCCACTCTCCTTCGGCTACTCCGTGGCCTAGGCCTCAGCTCTCTACTTCCTGGCAAACTGGACTTCTCTCAAAGGAGGAGAAAACCGGTCACAACACATCAGGAAAGAGGGCCCAGAAACCACCAGGGGTAACCCTGACAGCAGTACCAGAAGTGGACTGCTATATAACTCACCTTTCAGCCCACCACTGCTCATGAGTGGTGCTGTTTTCACAGGAGAAAGTGCTGAAGAGGCTTTGCTGGGAGAAGGGAAATAATCACAAAGTCCTCTAGCAAATTTCTCAGCATCTTCTCTACTTGAAAAAGCTTTAAATCGAGATCCTTTGATCATTCTGACAGCTTGCAGTGCTTCCTTTTTATCTTCATAAACATGAATCCTTTCTGTGTAGGAAAAGTAACAGGGAAATCACAGAGAAGTAACTGGCTCACACCCGAAGGCCCTGAGTTTCATAATAACCATTACCAGCTGTCTGATTTCTTTCACATTAGTATTTCAGATTTGTTTCTTAAAGGTTTTATTTTTAAGTCATCTCTACACCTAATGTGGGGCCTGAACTCACGACCCCAAGATCAAGAGTCGCACGCTCCTTCAAGTGAGCCAGCCAGGTGCCCCAGTATTTCAGGTTTTTAATCTTAAAGCCATTTTAAAAAAGTGTTGACTTCTTTTTGAGAGACACAGAGATGCATACGTGCACAGGTGAGGGGCAGAGAGAGAGACAGAGGATCTGAAGGGGGCCCTGTGCTGACAGCTGTCAGCACAGAGCCCGATGTGGGGCTTGAGCTCACAAACCGTGAAATCATGACCTGAGCCAAGTCATTCTTGAGAAAAAGGGCCTTAGCTAGTCAAAACAACACAGTTAATAAGACTGATCATATGCATGGACGTGAATGTAAATAATGTGTAGGCTATACACATGTGTAACTTTACTGTATCTAAGGATACGATTTCATACTGAAAAATAAAACTCCTGGATTAATGTTATAAATAAAAATAACAAAAAAAGCAAGTTAAAAATTATGACTATTGCAAGAGAATTTTAAACATAATTTTGGGTGGGGAATGCCTTTCTAAGTGTACCAAGAAACCCAGAATACATAAAGGAAAAGTTCCTATTACATAAGAATATTAAAGTTCTGTAGGCGAACTATCACAATCAAGCTTGCTTGAAACTCTCAAAAATACATTAAATACAAATGGGAAGAAAAAAAATTTTTTTAATGGGGAGAAAAAAATTTTAACCAATATAAGAGAAGAATCGTAATGTCTATTGCCCAGTAAAAACGGTCAGTAGATATGACCAACAGATTCATACAATAATAAATTAAAACCATATAAAAAGTAACTGACCTACAAGACAGAGGTTTCCCTTATTCAAAACATAAAAAGGAAAGTTCAATAACCTGGAGTTTGGCTGACAGAATGGAAACAAGACTTCCCTTTTTACAGATATAAAACCTTGCGTTCAATACTGTAGACAGACTGGAAAAGTTACTCTCTCAAACACAGTGAGTACTAACAGCTTCTGGAGGGCAGTGGCTTTCAAAGGAAAATGCACACCTTTTGGGGTGTCTGGGTGGCTCAGTTAGTTGGTCGAGCATCAGACTCTTGACTCTGGCTCAGGTCATGATCTCATGGTTCCTAGGTGGCTCAGTCAGTCAAGCGTCTGACTTTGGCTCAGGTCATGAACTCAAGGTTCGTGAGTTGGCCCACAGTGGCCTGTCGGCCGTCAGCAGAGCCCACTTCAGATCCTCTGTCCCCCCCTCTCTCTGCCCCTCCCCTGCTCGCGCGTGCTCTCTCAAAATAAACATTCAGTTCTACTCATGGTACATAATGTGTCTAATCTCCTATTTTGGGGTGCCACCCCAAATGATATCACAATAGTGATAGTCTGGATTTCTGACATTCTAATCAATATCAGGCTTTCATTAATTCTTTCCAATGCTACCTACTCTAGTCTTGTTTAAAATTGCAATTTTTTAAGTGCTTTTGGTGGTATAGTTTGTTGTTGTCTGACTTCTGTTAGGTCACGATCTCCTGCGGGTCCGGGGCAGAGTTCGAGCCCCGTGTCAGGCTCTGGGCTGATGCTCTGGAGCCTGGAGCCTTCCGATTCTGTGTTCCCCCCCTCTCACCCCTCCCATCTATGCTCTGTCTCTCTGTCCCAAAATAAATAAAATTGGAAAAAAAAAAAAAAAAAAAAAACGACAAATGCCCATAATTTGGTGCGCCTGGTGGCTCACGTTCAGGAGGTCCGATTCTGCCTTAGGTCATGATCTGGGTCCAGAGTTCTGAGAGTTCCTGTAAGTCAGGTTTTGAAGCTGACAGCCTAGAGCATGGAGCCTTGCCTCTTTAGATTCTGTGTTCTCCCTCTCTCAAGACCTCCCCCCCCCCCCCCCCCCCCCCCCCCCCCCCCCCCATTCATACATAAGTTCTGTCTCTGGCCAAAAATAAATAAACAAAGAGCATAGATGAGGTCGTTAAGCCAGTCCAATTTCATGCCACAATAGTCAATGACATCTGCTTGTCCAGAGTTTGGGAGCCCCTCAAGATCAGGTTTCTCTCTGGAAGATGGCCTGGAGCCTCTGGGAGCCTGTTTCCTGGCTTCTCCTTGTGTCTCCTCTGCCCCTCCTCCAGCCCTATGTCGTTGTCTCTCTCTGTCCCCAGTGGAATAAATAAAACGCTGAGTACAAATAAAATAAATGCGGAAAAAAAAAATTTAAAAAAATAAAATAAAATAAAATTGCAATTCTTTGATGTTGAAAATTACTTATAGCTGCATTAGCCATTTACATTAACATAAAAGGGGTTCAGCTTATATTGAATAAAAAAAAAGGAGGAAGATTAATCAAGAAATGGTAGCCAGCCAAAAACTACTTGCAAGTGAAGCATGTCTCACAGAATCCAATTTTCTTTATAAAAATTCACATGTAGATTTACAAATAATTCAGCAGAATTCTATATAAAAATGCTGACGATGGTTCATTTGGGGCAATGCAATTATGGGGCCTAATTCTTCTCTGTAGTTTGTGATTTTCAAGATCACCTTCCCCTGCTGTCCATCCACCCCATGTGAGAAACACCAGGTGCCTGTCACATTACCATTTCTTGCAGGGATGTCCTCGTACGCCGGGCATACCCCATAGTACAGAGGCGGCCCTGCAGAGGCCGTCACCATGGCTTTGTGACCGTTGACCCCAGTGGCAGCACCGAAGGACAGAGAGCAGGTCTTAGACATTACGACATCTTCCTCTGGAGGATTCAGGCCCACGCTGTAACCAAAATCTCTGTCCTCAGAAGACAAGCCAACCTGCTCAGGTTGGCTCCCTACAGCCAACTTCCAATTTCTCTGTGCGTCCTGGCTTATGGTTGTGGCTCCTGACATGTCGTGGCCAGGAGGCTGTGAAGGCAGTGTTCTTCCATGCTCCAGTAGAGCCTGAGCCAATTTTTTCTCAAAAATGAACCTTGTGGTTGATGTAATGGGTCCACATTTCAATCCAGCTTTCACAATTTCTTCTCTAAGGTCATCTGGATTCAGGAGTTTCAATCGAGCCAAGATAGCGTCCATTGTCATCTCACCTAGGCCAAGACAAGAATTAATCTGATGGTGAGAAGTACATTGTTTTCTTACGAGCAACAAAACAAAAAACACAAGTGGCAAAAATGCTGGCTTCAGTTTCATTTCAAGCCAGTGTTTGTCTATATTTTTGGTAGTCTATGAGCCTCCTATGAGAGCTTTCTGAAACTGTTTCCCAATCGATCATAATCTAACCAAATTTAGATAAGCAATTTCTGGTTTATTTGGATAAGAATCTTAGAACCTGATACTATTACGTGACACAATCACACTAACTTTCTAAGTAGGTACTCACACTGGGGGAACAGACACATCATTTGGTGCTACTTAGAGTGTAATCTAGAACAAACCCAAGGAGGGCATGTGAACAATATCCGTCAAAAATACAACTCTAGAGATGCATCCTATACTAACATGTGCACTTCATTCCATAAGTAAAGGAAATTATACAAAGATTTAACCAGAGGAGCCACAGAGATGGCTCTGGCAGTCACTTTGCTAATATTAAGTAGTTAGCGTTTAAGGTTTTGGGGGGGTGCTTTCCATGTGCCTGGCTCTGGTGTAAGCGCACTACACAAAGTATTTAACCAGCATGATTTCTCTGTGTAGCAGGTCTCACCACTGTTCACCCCACTTTACAGATGAAGAACCTGGATCACAGAGACACTCAGTCACTTGTTCGAGTGACACAGCCACTCCGCGAGTGCATCTGAATTGGAGCAGGAGCTCTAATCCACACCTTCAGAGAAAGAGCAGGTCGCAGGTTTAAGTGTGGTCAGCAAGAATCGGGGAGAAGGAAGAAATATTGGGGTACAGACTAGCGTTGTAATGGGGCTGGAAACAAGCACTTAGGTGAGAAAAACTGGAGGTGTGAAGGACGGATGGATCAGAGGCCATGGGGAGGGGTGTGTGGGCCTGCAGGCAGCCTAGGATGACACTCAGATCTCTGGTCCGGGTGCCTATGAGTGACCTGACCCAAGGCAGAGAATACTAGAACTAGAAGAGGTGGAGACTTACGCACTGAGCATCAAAAACATCTTAATGCCTACCGATCAGGTGTTTCGATTTAGAAGAAGTTCAGAATGGGAAAAATTGGTTGTGGGAGTCACAAGCACACACATGCTGGCTCTAATGCCAATAATAAACCAGGAATAACAAGGAACAAACACAAAGACAGTGAGCCTAAAGTGGAACCTGACAGTAAAATGAGAGAAACCCCTAGAGGAGATGAAGAGAAATGCACACACTGATACAAAATGAAAGCAAGGACTAGAGGGTTTACAAATGAAGTGATGGGACATCCAGGATTGACTTGAAAACACTCTAGCAGGGGGACCCGTGGGGGGGGGGGGGCACAGTCGGCTAAGCATCCAATCTTGACCTTGGCTCAGGTCATGATCTCACAGTTTGTAAGTTCAGGCCCTGCATCAAGCTCTGATGGTGTGGAGCCTGCTTGGGATTCTGTCTCACCCTCTCTCTGCCCCTTTCCTGCTTGTGCACCTGCTCTCTCTCTCTCTCTCTCTCAGAATAAATCAATAAAAAATACATAAAAATTAAAAAATATTCTAGCAGGAGAGCAAAGGAGGGAGGCAGTGAGAGATAAAAAAGATTCACAAAATATTAATACCCATTGTAGCTGGATGATAGCTATAAGCAAAGAGTTCTTATATTACCCCATCTTTTCTGTGAATTTCTTTTTTAAAAAACTTTTAATGCCAGGGCACCTGGGTGGCTCAGCTGGTTGAGCATCTGACTTCAGCTCAGGTCATGACCTCACAACTCGTGGGTTCAAGCCCCGTGTCGGACTTTGTGCTGACAGCTTGGAGCGTGCTTTGGATGCTCTCTCAAAAATAAATAAACATTAAATTGTTTTTGTTTTTTTTTTTTAACTTTTAATACCATCTCTCCCCACCCAACTCCAAGATTTCAACACTGGCTATTACTTATTGGCAAAGGGGATACTGGCCTTTTAAACAATGAGTGTACCGCACAGACCCCAAATCTGCCACAGAACTTCAAGGGGAGGGCCTACTGACCACTCCACCTGGGGGGGTACCCAGGTGATTCCCTACAAACCTCGATATAAGAGCAACAGAGGTGGCTCAGTGATGGGAAACTGATGTGAACGTCACAAAGTAGGTCAAAGTCACATGCAAGGGGTTGGGATAACTGGGGCAGATGCTCCGAATAAACAGGCCACACCCATTCCTAGAAAAGTCCAGTCTTCATGCCATTCCTGTGTCTCTGCTCTAAAGCCACCCTTCTGATCTGGGCTAGTTTGTCCTTGCAACCAAGCAAGCCCTAAACAGAACAATTCCATCACATCACGGCACTAACTGTGTGACCTTGGACAAGTTATGTAAACTCTAAGCCTCAGTTTCCTCATCTATAAAATAGATATAATGACAGTTCTACCCCTCAGGCTACAGTAAGAGTGAGGTAAAAAATACATGTAAAGTCCGTGCTGCTAGGTTTGACACTGACAAATTATTCACAACTATCAGTTTTAGTTATTAGGTTACACAGGCTTATTATTTTGTAGCACATGTAATATGTTAGAAAGTCAATCTGAATAAAAACCACTGCTTTAATACACTGTTTAATACACACTGTAATACAGTATATGAATACCTGCTCACCTGTACCAAATAAAGAATAAAGCAGAAACTCCCAGTAGGAGTGGAGTATGGAAACTGGACAGGAAGAATGGACAGAGGGCCAGCACAGGGGAGAGAAACATCTCTGAACATCGCTCTTATGTTCTGACTTTTGGAAACACGTTTTTGGGGGGTGCCTGGGGAGGCTCAGTAGGTTGAGTGTCCGACTTGGGCTCAGGTCATGATCTCACAGTTCATGAGTTTGAGCCCCGTGTCGGGCTCTGTGCTGATGCCTGGAGCCTGCTTTGGATTCTGTGTCTCCCTCTGTCTCTGCCCCTCCCCTGCTTGTGCTCTGTCTCTCTTTCAAAAATGAATGTTAAAAAAAAAAAAAAAAGAAAAAGAATAAAAGAAACACATTTGTGAGTCACATACCAAAAAATAAGTAAATAAACAAAAAGATGGAGAAAGACCTTCCAAGTGGACAACAGAAGCACAAGGAGTGGTGGTGAACGAACCCAGTGACTGTACATTCTACAGGTCCACGATCCTGAAGCTACTTTACACCAGCCTGAGGGGTCAGCAAGCACCTGGATACACCATGGCTAAGGAGAGTCCAGTTCCTCACTGACAGAAGGGAGTTACAAGCAAGGAGGCTAGAAATGGGGTCAGCAAACATCCATAAAGGGCCACAGACTAAGGGTGAGACTTGTGAGCGAGAAGGTCTCTCGAACACTCAAGAACAGCTACAGATCCAGCAAGACTGAAAAAGCAGGTGGGGGCTGGATTTGGCTGGCAAGACGCGGTTTGCCGACCCTCAGGCTGGAATCCAAAGTATCGGCCAAACCCTGACTGACAGAGAGACAAAGATGACGGTACAGGAAACCCAGTCAGGTCTGCGAGCTGAATGAACACTCCCAGGCTGTCCTACTCCTAGTGATTATGTAAGCTACTAACATCAGGGAATCTAAACGAATGGCATAGATTTAACTTTTTATTTTGAAAAAAACTATAAACACAAATAATAGTATGGGAAGTTCCTGGGGACCCATCGCTGGTGACAGTGCCGCACCCAAATCAGGGAAGTGACACCGGCTAAGCCTCACCAGTGTCGGCACGACTCTGCTCTTCTTTGTACGTGCTTCCACCACCACCCATCACGTGGATAAAGTCATGATCACAGAACTGTCCCCCCCAACCTCCTCCACTGTCCCCAGACCCTGGCAACCACTAATTTGTTCTCTTCCACCGTAATCTTTCAAGAACATTCTGATAAATGGAATCACACCCTCTAAACCTCCTTGGCTTTTTTCAATTAGCACGATACTCCTGAGACACACCACCACCTCCTTCCTTCTCACTGCTGAGCAACATTCCGTGGTGTGAACATGCCAGTCTTATTACCCTTTTGTCCCTCGAGAAACATTTGGGCTTTTTCCAGTTCTTGGAAACTACAAGTAGTTATAAGCATTCACATACGGGTTTTTGTGTAAAAATGTTTTCATGTCTCTAGGATAAATGCCCAAAAATACAGCGCACAGTTACGTTTTTGAGAAACTGCCAAAATGATTTCAGAGTGGCTGCCCCTGTAACATTTCCACCAGCAGTAAATGAGAGACCCAGTTTCTCAGCATTTCCACCAGCAGCTTGTGGTACTGGCTCCTTTCATTTTAGTCATTTTAACAGGTGCAGTATCTCGTTGGAGGTTTAATCTGTATTTCACCACTGGCTAGCGACATTGAGCACCTTTTTGCACATACATTTGCTTCATACTAGTTTTGTAATTTTTTATAAGCCTAAAAAATGACTTCAGTGACACCTGGGTGGCTCAGTTGGTTGAGCGTCCAACTGTTGATTTTGGCTCAGGTCATGATCTAACGGGTTGCTGGGATCCAGCCCCGTGTCGGGCTCTGCATGGACAGTATGGAGCCTGCTTGGGATTCTCTCTCCCCCTCTCTCTGCCCTTCCCCTGCTCGTGAGAGAATACAAGTACCTCTCTCTCTCAAAAACAAATAAATAATCTTAAAAAAAAAGGGGGGGGGGCGCTCCCAACCCTGACCTTGTGGCCCCACACATCATTTAGCTTCAGCACGCAGGCGGTGTGCAGTCTCAGCGTTGTGTGGCTACTTGGCAGAGGGCTGGCGGTGTGACCGGACAAATCAGCGTGCTATTTTCTCAACACACCGGCTAAAACTCTCTCCAGGAGGCGAGGAAAGGGAAGCAACCCAAGGACGGAGGGGAAGCGGACCGGGTGTCAGCAGGCCTACAATCCCAGCTGGCCCCAGCCTCCCAGCCGCGTGCTCTCAACCACCGGCGGGCCTTCCTGGGGCCTGTCTGCTCAGCTGCAGACCAGAAGGAAGCCATCCGTACGGACCCTGACGGTTAGCCCCAAGATCCCGAGACGCAGTCATTAACTTTACTTTCTGCTAATTAAACGCCATCCTCCTATCAGAGTACTTAAGGAACGACCGCTGATTCTCCAAAAAGAAACCCGACTTTCTGGCGAGAGGGTGAACTCAGTATGAAAAAGCTGGGTCCCTAACGCCTGCAGGCGCACACGGTCTGGGAAGCCCACCACTGTGGCACGGCAGAGCGAGGCCGCGAGGGAGAGGAACACAGACCGCAGGGCCTGGAGAAGAACTCGGCCAAACGAAGGAGCCAAGCGGATGAAGACTGCCCGGAGACAGGGGCGCCACTCCCGCGGCTCCCCGCTTCCCTATTGTGTGCGCATGAAGCCTCGGGGACTTACTCCAGGCCTTCGCCCAAAACACCAGACCCGGGCCCGCCAGGGGAGGGGGCAGAGCCCTGCCCCAGGACAGAGTTGAGGCCCTGGGAGGGGTGGGGACCCAGGCCTGGGGAATGAAAAGGACCCGGGCCGGGCGGAGGGAGAGGACCCAGGCCTGGGAGTGGAGGGGACCCAGGCCGGGCGAGGGGAGGGGACACAGGCCACCAAGCTGAGGGGAC